GTCAACCTGTGCTACGTGCTTCATTCTCATCGTTCTAAAATAAAACAAAAACAATCATCAGTCAAGTAAACCATACAAATCCTGACAGCAAGAGCTCAATCTCCCTTAAAGCTGAACTTAAGATAATATGTACATATTCAATACAGTTAGCTCATACAAACTTTTCTTTAAAGGAACCTGGAAAAATAAATACAGTTAGGTCCATATATATTTGGACACAGGCACAATTTTAGATTTTTTCAGGCATTTACCAAAACATATTCAAGCTATAATTATATAATGGATATGGGCTGAAAGTGCACACTCTCAGGTTTAATTTGAGGGTATGTACATCCAAATTGGAGGAAGGGTTTAGGAATTACAGCTATTAAGAATAGCCATCCCCCCTTTTTCAAGGGACCAAAAGTAATTGTACAATTGAATATAATCATAAATGTTCTTTAAAATTTTGTTGAGAAACCTTTACTGGCAATGACTGCCTGAAGTCTGGAACCCCATGGACATTACCAAAGACTGGGTTTCTGCCTGATGCTTTGCCAGGCTCTAACTGCAGCTTTCTTCAGTTCTTTGTGGGTCTTTTTGCCTTTAGTTTTGCCTTCGGCAAGTGAAATGCATGCTCAATTGGGTTGAGATCAGGTGATTGACTTGGCCATTGCAGAATATTCCACTTTTCCTTCAAAAACTCCTGGGTTGCTTTTGCAGTGTGTTTTGGATCATTCTCCATCTGTACTGTGAAGTGCCGTCCAATCAACTTTGCTGCATTTGGCTGAATTTAGGCTGACCGTATATCTCTAAACACTGCAGAATTCATCCAGCTGCTTGTGTCACATCAACAAACACCAATGACCCAGTGCCACTGGAAGCCATGCATGCATGGCCATGCCATCACACTGCCTCCACCATGTTTTACAGATTATATTGTGTGCTTTGGATCATGAGCTGTTCCAAGTCTTCTCCACACTTTTTTCTTCCCGTCATTCTGCTACAGATTAATCTTAGTTTCATCCGTGCAAAGAATGCTTTTCCAGAACTGGTCTGGTTTTTTTAGATGAATTTTGGCAAAGTCTAATCTAGCTTATGAATGGTTTGCACCTTGTGGTAAACCCTCTGTATTTGCTCTCATGAAGTCTTCTCAATTGTAGACTGACAATGATACGCCCACCTCCTGGAGAGTGCCCTTCACTTGTCTGGATGTTGTGAATGGGTTTTTCTTTACCATAGAGAGGATCCTGTGATCACCCACCACTTTTGTCTTCCATGGATGTCCATGTCTTTTTATTTTGCAAAGCTCACCAGTGAGTTCTTTCCTCAGAATGTACAAAACTTTTGATTTGGCCACGCCTAATGTTGCTGCTAACTCTCTGATGGATTTGTTTCTTTTTTAATGCCTTACAATGTCCTGTTTCACTTGAATGGACAGATCCTCTGAATGCATGATGTAGGTTAACAACAATAGATTCCAAATGCAAATACCACACTTAGAATCAACTCCAGACCGTTTACTTGCTGAATTGATGAAGAAATAACAAAGGAGTAGCCCACACCTGGCCATGGAACAGCTTTTGATTCAATTGTCCAATTACTTTTGTTCCTTCGAAAAAGGGGTTATGGCTACTCTTAAGAGCTGTAATTCCTAAACCCTTCCTCCAATTTGGATGCACTTACCCTCAAATTAAACCTGAGAGTGTGCACTTTCAGCCCATATCCATTATAGAACTATAGCTTGAATAGGTATTGGTAAATACCTGAAAAAATCTAAAATTGTGCCTGTGCCCAAATATATATGGACCTAACTGTATATACAGTGCTCAGCATAAATGAGTACACCCCTTTTGAAAAATAAGATTTTAATAAATATCTCAATGAACATAAGAACAGTTACCAAAAATTTGACAAAACTGAGCTTTATAGAACATTTGTTCAGCTCATTACATGAAAATAAGGTTATCAATATAACAGACTACAAAATCTTCAGTTTTACTAAAAATTCGTTGATGCAAAAATGAATACACCCCCCTACTACATCTAATATTTTGTAGATCAGAAAAGTCAGTTAAAATCTGAACTCTTGATATGCATACTTGATCAGGTTAGTGACTCAGCAGAAATAAAGCAAATTAATTAACATGACCACAACATGGAGCTAGTTATTTTCAGCTGGAAAAGGTGATCAATGGCATCCTTCTATAAAGACACCGGGGTTCCAAGCCTGGCTACGCTGTCTGGATCATGTTTTTTTTCTTCATATATTAGGCTGACAATGGGAGTATTAAGGCCTCGTTCACACCATTAATGCAGAAAAACAGATAGAAAATGATGAGACATCAATTTTTATGCACGTTCCAATGAGTTTTATACTGATTGCAGACTACTGCTCAGAAAAAAATCAGCATAACACCAGTTTTGTGGTGTAAACAGGACACAGAGAACTGAATCTGTTCTGCCCTTGCAGTACTGTCCTCTGCCCCCTTCACTGAAGAGTACTCTGCCCCTTTTTACATCATCCCACCTTATTACTTTCCCTAACCCCCCCCCCCCCCCACTACCGTACCGTCCTCAATGCTCCCCCACGCTAACGGTCCTCGGGCCCCCCTCCCCCACGCTACGGACTACCACGCTACGGACCTCGGGCCCCCCTCCCCCACGCTACGGTCCTCGGGCCCCCCTCCCCCACGCTACGGTCCTCGGGCCCCCCTCCCCCACGCTACTGTCCTCGGCCCCCCTCCCCCACGCTACGTCCTCGGGCCCCCCTCCCCCACGCTACTGTCCTTGGGCCCCCCCGACTACAGTTCTCAGCCCGCATCCGGACCCCAGTCCGCCATCTAGTGATGCCTGCTTTAAACTATATAAGTCAGAGATATCACATTTAGTCTAAGAACACCTCCACATATGACAAATTGTACTCCACGTGTATGAATATTTAGGATAGTAGATGTTAATGGAAAGCTACCAAATATCTAAAATTTTTTAGTTTTGTAAATGGATGTGAGGAAGGGTTATAACATCTGTCACTTGAATCTGCTCTCCGTGGTCTAGTTGAGTGCCAGTTCACATATATGCGGATTGGAAGAGGTTTGAACCGCATTCAATCTGCATGACATGTGAAACAACATTGCTTCCTATAGTGCCTGTTGACATTCACTATATTGCCAAAAGTATTGGGACGCCTGCCTTTACACACACATGAACTGTTAATGGCATCCCAGTCTTAGTCCGTAGGGTTCAATATTGAGTTGTCCCACCCTTTGCAGTTATAACAGCTTCAACTCTTCTGGGAAGGCTGTCCACAAGGTTTAGTAGTGCGTCTCTGGGAATGTTTGACCATTCTTTCAGATGCGCATTTGTGAGGTCAGGCACTGAAGTCGGACGAGAAGGCCTGGCTCAAGTTTCTGCCCTAATTTATCCCAAAGGTGTTCCATCAGGTTGAGGTCAGGACCCTGTGCAGGCCAGTCAACTTCCTCCACCCCAAACTCCCTCATCCGTGTCTTTATGGACCTTGCTTTGTGCACTGGTGCACAGTCATGTTGGAACAGGAAGGGGCCATCCGCAAATGGTTCCCACAAAGTTGGGAGCATGAAATTGTCCAAAATGTCTTGGTATGCAGATGTCTTAAGAGTTCCTTTCACTGGAACTAAGGGGCCAAGCCCAACATCCTGATAGACAACCCCACACCATAATCCCCCCTCCAACAAACATTACACTTGGCACAATGCAGTCAGGCAAGTACCGTTCTCATGGCAACTGCCAAACCCAGACATGTCCATCGGATTGCCAGACAAAGAAGCGTGATTAATCACTCCAGAGAATGCATCTCCACTGCTCCAGAGTACAGTGGCAGCGTGCTTTACACCACTGCATCCGACGCTATGCATTGCACTTGGTGATGTAAGGCTTGGATGTAGCTGCTCGGCTATGGAAACCCATTCCATGAAGCCCTCTACACACGGTTGTGCTAATCTGAAGGCCACACGAAGTTTGGAGGTCTTTAGCTATTGACTCTGCAGACAGTTGGCGACTTCTGTGCACTTCCAACCTCAATGAGCTGACCCTAATCTGTCATTTTACTTGGCCTACCAATTTGTGGCTAAGTTTCTGTTGTTCCCAGTTGCTTCCACTTTGTTATAATACCACTAAAAGTTGACTGTGGAATATTTAGTAGCACGGAAATTATACAATGGACTTATTGCACAGGTGGCAACCTATCATGGTATTCACTGAACTCCTGAGAGCAGCCCATTCTTTCACAAATGTTTGTAGAAGCAGTATGCATGCCTAGGTATTTGATTTTTATACACCTGTGGCCATGGAGGTGAATGGAACACCAGAATCCAATGATTTAGAGGGGTGTCCCAATACTTTTGTCAATATAGTCTATGTCCGGTGCACTGGCAGTGAGGATTGAAGAAAAAAAAAAAAAAAAAAAAAAAAGAGTCCTGTCTGATTTCTGAGTAGTACGGTCTGGTCCAGGGGTGGATTACAGAATATTGACTTCTATGGTGACCGCTTCTGAATTGCTCGTCATCAGTTGTGATCAGGATTTCAGTTCAGGATCAGGTTCAGCACAGTTTGCTCTTCTCTCTCCCCCCTCAAAATTAAAAAAGCCTTGCAAAACCGCATCCAAACCGGCCCTGAACCTGTGAACAGTACAATCCGCAGCTGTGTCACAAAAACCGGTCCTGAACAAGTAGATTGCAATCCACACTGAAACCGGACTTTGAAATTTTGAACGCACATTTGTGAGTCTACACTTAGATTCACTAGAATGTGTCACTACGACAGAGTTTCATCTTCAAAAGGGACACAGACCACTATAGAAACATTTTTTTTTTCTTAAAACATAGAGCAGATTAAAGCTAGAGCACCAACAGCTAACAAATATGTACTCAGAAGGTAGCGAAAACCTGAGTTTCTAGCCCAATCAATCCAAAAGTTAAATCATTTTGACTAGAAGACATAATTAGAACACCACTGTAAAGCATTTTGTATTGTTTGTTCTTACCACGTGGCCAGTCGGAAGGTGAGCGGTTGTGATTGGCCTGGCGTTTGAAGCCGCGTTCGTAGTCCTCCTCTTCTGAGCTGCCATCACGATGGTATTTTCTTTTTTTTGAGCTTCCATAATCTTGATGGTAGTTGGAGTAACCGTTAAGTTTTCTGTGGTGGTAGGGGTCAAATTGACGTGAGTAAAAGGATTGATGGTTGTTGTATTTGAAGTTATAGGCTTGATCGCGCCCCCTGCTGTGGTGGGACCATCCTGATTTATAGTCTTTACAAGCCCAATAGTCCCTATCATAATGCCCCCGATGATCTCTATAAGGGGAATAATGTCTACGGTGTTTCTCCCTGCTTCTTGATCGGTCCCTTTTAGAATGATAATATGAACAGCGATCTCCAGTTCTCCCTCTGCTTCTAGAGCGCTGCCTGTCATAGTCTCTGTGTTTGTAGTGTCCACTACTGGAATAGTCCCTATGTCTGTATTCCCTATCCGGCAACCTATACCGATCATATTTGGATCTATCAAAGCTTTGTGATCGTCTATCACTGTTCCTTTTGTGGTCTTCGGAGGACCCAGAAGATTGCGGTAGTGGCTTGTTCTCTGCAATGCTCTCTGAGGCAATTAACCTGATGCCGATATCCACATTTGGTGGAATTTCCTGTTTTGTTACAGCCATTTCTGTTGATTGCAGCTGGGGTCTAAAAAAGAAAAAGAAAAAAAAATTATTATTGTTCTAGATTATTTCAATGTCAAAGTGCAGTCAATCCAAAAAGGGACATTTCAGATATGTGTAAATGTCAACAGGCTCAACCTTCAAGATCTTATTTTGTAATATTATGTACTTTAATAACAACAGCGCCAAATTCCTAGGATAGATCACATGCTATAATGAGGAGTGTCTCTTTTTTTATACTAAGGATATGCAGCAAACGTTTATGGTGTGGGTACAGAGTGAGAAGCCCTGGCAGGAAGACAGGAGGTAAAGTGTTACTAAACCCAGAACCCAGCATTCACTATATCTGGTCTCCCACAGTACACAGAACAAGGAAATGCAATTATTTTAGTAAATGTAAACTGCTAAATAACTTTTTTTTTCATTCTGCAGTTAGAGCAATCGTGTGACTTCTATCAGTGTCCAGCAGAGCACTGGTTAAAGCTAGGAGGAGGAGTTTTCATTCTCCCGATTGTCCTATGAGGCTGCAGGACCCCTGACCCTCTGCCTGGACAGTGCTAATTAGCCCTGTGGTGATCACATGCACTCTCTCAAGAAAAACTCTAGCAATACACACAAAATTGAGCATGTGCAGCTCGCCCCCAAGGCTCTGTTCTATCAGGAGATGGATTGGGGACAGTAGAAGGAGAGGATCAGAGAAGACAGGATCAAACATCCTTATACAATATGAAGGATTAACCCCTTAGGTTCCACAGTGAGCATAACAAGCATGCTTTACTGCATACACAGACTGATTTTGCTGTTGTGGGTTTAGTAACACTAACTTTCTTCAGTCCTGCTAGAGGAAACCCATGATCACTCTACCTTAAGGACACTGTGGATAGCGGCATAATTTTTTAACTAGACTGATCATTCTGAAAATACACACTAAAAACTGTTTATTGTGAAATAACTAGTGTAAACGAGTTCCTGAAGCATATACCTAAATGAATGGCTGCATGCAAACATAGTCCAGTGAAGACATGATTTATATTAAAAACTTCAGTTTTGCATCACTGGACATAAAACAAAGCTGCCACTGGTAAGGGCCCAAAGCCATCTTCTACAGACAAGCGAACGGCACAAAAAGCTAGCAGCACAGCTAAGCATGGTTTATAATTCAGAGCACCTTAGGTTATTCTTTCAAAAAAAATCTTCCAGAGGCCATTTTGTGGTTTTAGCGGGAATTTTTTTTGTAATAGTCCTGGAGCATATCAAATCTTTTCCTGAACAGGTTTCCTTGCCTCAGCTGCCCCAGAAACTAATGAAGTCTAAAAAAGATGGGTCCACTGAGGATTTATTTATAAATCTGAGGCACAATGTATACAGACATACAGATAAAAAGCCTTAATGTGTTTTTGACTTTAGGTGTTTACTTGTAATGCATCCCTGCAACTAGACAATTTAAGGAAATGAGCACTGGTATTAAAAATCTAAAAGTGTGGGGGGGTTGACATGTTCAACTGTACGTTTGTTTTCTTTTGACATTCCTTTGTGACCAAAAGGCTGTAGTCTCCTTTGTTATGAAATTGTTTTTGTATTTTTGTGCTTACCTCAAAAAAAAAAAAAAATCTACAAATAGGAAACAAAAAAAAGTCAATGCCCCAGATACAGTGGGAAAAAAAATATGTGAAACCTCTGTAATTAACTGATTTTCTGCTGTACTTTGACATACAATATAATATTATCCTCTATTATCTAAGTCATAATAGACAAACACATTGTGCTTAAGCTGATAAACAATTTAAAATGTCTTGTGTATTTATTAACACTCCCATGAATTTTAGCAGTTTATAGTTAGTTGAAACTCTTGGAAGCAACAACTTCAAACAAAGGCTTTCAGTAGCTCTGGATCAGACCTGCACAATGTTCAGGAGGCATTTTTAACCATTCCTCTTTACAAAACTGCTTCAGCTCAGACACATTTGTAGGATATCTGGTGTGAATGTATCTCAAGATAATTCCACAGCATCTCTATGGGGTTAGGGTCTGGGCTCGGACTGGACCACTCCTCGGACTGGACCACTCCAAAAGGCGCTTTGTCTTTTTCTGAAGCTAGTCTGTGGTGGAGTTACTTTGATGCTTAGGGTCGCTGTCCTGCTGCATCACCCAATTTCAACCAAGCTTCAGCAGGTGGGACAGCCACCCTGACAGTCTATAGAATATTTTGATAAACTTTGAAATTAATTTTCCCCTCAAATGAAAGCAAGTGGTCCAAGCCCTGAGGCAGCAAAGAAATCCCAAATCATGAGGGTTCCCCCCAAAGTACTTCAGTTAGGATAATGTTTTGATGTTGGTAAGCTGTGCTCTTTTTGTGCCATAGATTGTGCAGAGTATTCTTGCCAAACTATTCAACTTTTGTTTCATCAGTCCACAAAACATTTCCCCTGTTCAAAGACCTACGTATATTGGAGTTATGAACAGGGGATTTTGTCAATTCCAGTGAGGGCTTCAAGCCTTTAGCGGTTACTTCTTTACCTAATTGAGAATTGTGTTGTGCCTTGGGAGTCATCTCGTCTAGGTGCCCACTTCTAGAAAAAGTAGCCACAGTACTAAAACTTTCCACATTTACAGACAATTTAACTATTAACTGATAGGTGCCTAAATACTTTCAGATTGCTTTATATCCTTTTCCAGCAGTATACAGATCAACTACTCTTGATTGTATTATTATAAATACTGTATAATAATAATAATAATAATAATTGTATGTTTTCAGAGAGCTCCTTTTTGCAAGGCACGGTTCACATCAGCTGATGTGTCTGATAAGACAGTGAAACATTTTAAGATTGCTGTTTATAAAAGTAGCTCTACAACCACACCTCCAGATGCATGTCATTATTTGGACTCCAGGTGCGTAGACTCCAAAAAGCTTTTGCTGAAGTAGTCTATGGATTCACTTACTTATTCCGACAGCATTTAAGCTCTAATAAGTGTGATCAATAAAGACATGAGAAATTAGAAATGTTTATGTGTTAGCTTAAGCACATTGTGTTTGTCTATTGTTGTGACTTAGAGGAGGATTAGATCAAATTTTATGGCAAATTACTGTAGAAAACTAGTTAATTCCAAGGGGAGCACATACTTTTTCTTGCCACTGCAGATTTAACTTTATCCTATTATTAAAAGTATTCTACTATAATAATTCCTGTGAGTTACAATTTATGAAGACAATATCTGCACTCTTACTGATTAAATACACTAATCTAAAAAAAAAAACAAAACCCCAAGGATTCTATAAAGTTTTTCAAACTAAGTCCTTTTTTATTAAGTGCAGGGAAATGTCAATGCTAGCCAATAGACTGAACAAAAAAAAATAAAATACAAAGACTAACCTTTATACCACAACAAGTTTTAACATTAGAGGAGTCTAATCTTAGTGGACAGAGTCAAACAAAAAACACAATGTTAGTTATTGAAAAGTCCTTTAATTCCATCACCAGGCTTTCTATATTTGCTACACTGACCAAGTCTGAAAATTCAGGCACAGGGGGCGTTTGCTTAGCCCCTCTGAACACCTTTTAACCTGGCAGGAGAAAAGCAGCTTAAAAAAAGTGATACAAGCAGAGTACTGCACATGCATTCAAGTGCATTAACAGAGCATGCATTACCAATTTATTCTGGGCATTAGAATGCATTAACACGCCTGAACATGTCTGGCGTTTATGTGCATTCTGGAGATTTTTTTTATTGCTCAAGAGCTCCTTTCCTGAACGCACTGCTGATAGTAATTTTGTCTGCCTGCCGCTCCTCTCTTAATGCACCTGTAAACATCTATGTACACATGAACACACAAGCTAGTAGAGATGCATTTTCAGGCATAAAGAAAAAACCGCCAGTGAAAGTGGCATTTAAGACCTGTGTGATTGAGCCCTGGTTCAGGCTCCTTAAAAACTCTGTTTCATTTTCTGTTTCTCGGCGCACTGGTATCCAAAGAGACAAGAATTCCCACTATACTATACCAAGGACTCCAAGTGTAATTTTGAGATGTAACACAAGTATTGGTCCATGGATGTAAAATTCCTCCAGGATCTCCAGCTTGTCTTAAACTTCTCTTCTTTATTATGTTGGGTGGTAGATATTTGATAGGTGGAGAGTGCTGTTTCCATAGCAAGGGTATACAGGCTTTTTTTCCGTATTTAACATATGAATGGTAAGAGAAGACTTGTAATTTGAAAAAGGTTTTACATAAATGTTTCTGTAAGATGGAGAAGACACGCAGCCGTGTTTTAGCTCAGATCAACCTGGGTAGGTTGTTTAATCATAGCAAGCACATCGCCCCCAAAGGGTTGCAGGTCTGTGCATGACCAAAACACATGTAAGATGGGATACTTTATTTTTTTTTTAAACAGTCAAAGGATCTCTTTATCATTCCTTTCTTAGGAGAAACATATTGCGTATAATGTAATGAATGTTTATGCTGTATATTTTTTAACTGTTAACTTTGCTCTTTAAGGACTTACAGGATGACGGTCTACAACTTTTGTTTCTTGCATAAAACTACTTTTGAACTTGCCGTAAAAAATATTTTTCTTTGCGTGCATAGGAGGACATGGAAACTCAGAATCAGCAGGGTTATGCAGCCACCTAAAAGAGGTTGGGACACTGAAACAGAAAGTTATAAGCTAGCCCCCATATACCTCCAAATCTCCTCGGGATGCCTCAGTTTTGTGAGAAAGCAATACACAGAGTAAAAAAAAAAAAAAAAAAAAAGGGGGGGGGGGGTGTCCTGTTTCACAGTAAACAAAAAAATCTTACTCCCAACGTCCACTGAGAGACACAGAAATTCAGAAACCCTTGGATCAAAAGCAGATGAAATTAAACCCTTGCAAGACAGAGGGACTGCCACAAAGATGAAAAGGGCGCAGAGGATCACTCAAACTTCAGATCAATGCAGAAAACAGCTGCCAAATGGAAACGTCTACCTGTTGGAGCAATGGGCTCCAACCAGTGAAAGAGTGGAGAACAAACCAAAAATCCACCAAAAACAGGTGGGAAAAAAAAAAAAAAACTACTCAAACAAAAGAAAAAAAAAAAAACTTAAACAACGAAATGTGGACAACAAGAATATATATATATTTCTGTATTACCTCTGCTCTGATGCTGTGATTTCACATGCATAGCTTGCTGGCGAAACTGCTGTTTTATCAGTGTCCTCTGTGACCAGAATAAAGGAAGATTCAGTCTAAAATGAAAAAACACAGTATATTGAATTTGTCATACAAAAATGTCAAATTCCTTTTAAAACTAAAGTAATCCTTTCTGAAAAAATCATGAAGCAGCAACAAAACAAAAACATCTTTAAAGTGCAGTAACCTATAGCAAACAGTCTGATCTTCTTTAAATGACCTAACAACAGGAAATTGATATATGACTGGCTGCTGTGGGTTACTGCACTGTGCACTCTCATAGCTCTCTTCACTCCTCTATGGAAGATAACCGATTCTTAAAAGAAAATAAATACAAGTGGGGCTGAAATAGTAAGATATAAAGAGAAAATAAAAATATACTAATGGCTAAAATACAAGGTGACTCAAAAAAATGATCAATTCAGTAATGCATCACCACATTCTTCATGTTAGAATCACAAAATGCAGTTGCAGGGATTTGTATGCATTTAAGGACTCTCTCACTCTGCCTTAGATGCAAAAGAGTATCCAAAACAGTGTATTTTTCAAAGGTAACTTTCTGCTGGGGGTTGCATTTCAGTGACGAAAACTAAACGAAAATAAAATTCAGTTTCAATTCAGATGACTAAAACACGACTAAAACTAAAATGGTATTATAGTAAAAAAAACTGACTAAAACTAAATTAAAATTTGACTTCAAATAGAAATATTCTTGTTACAACATTTATAAAGATGTTACCCAATACTTTTAATTATTAACAGAGAACTATTAGGACCGGTTCACACCATAGAAATGCAGTCTGGATGCACTTCTGCATGTGGTTTTTTTATGTGTTGCGGTGTAATTCCCCCCCCCCCCCTCCCCCCCTTTTTCTTCACCTTAAATATGGAAAATGTGTGTTCCAGTGTGTTTTTGGTGTGCTCAGGTGCATTTTACCACATTCCAGTACAGTTCAGTGCAGAAAAAAAATGCAGCATGTTCTACGTTTGTTTCTGGAAATGAAACTGATTGCACTGGTGTGAACTATGCTATTGTAGACCATATAACCTATTTGTTTTTGATGCAGAAAAAAAAACACACATTGGACTACTGCATATGGTGTGAATAGGACCTCTAAAGTTTTTACATTCCGGTAATATGTGCAACAGAGTTTACAGGTTTTTTTTTTATATTTTAAAGCTGCACTTCTGTTTGTCAAAAAGCAATAATGTTTGTTTATGATACTGGAGATTTTAGTCGTCCAAAATACAACTAAAATTAAACAATTCAGATGACTAAAATACGACTAAAACTAAAATGGCATTTTAGTCAAAAGACAGATTAAAACTAAATTGAAGTACACATTGAAGGATGCTTGGCCATCAAGAAAAACACGATCGTTTGACCTTCTTGCATAAGGTGACAGTTGCAAATTTTCGCATAGATTTGCATATGGAGGTGAATATGTTGTACACTTCCTTTGAACCCAATTCATATTTTATACATAAGTTTCACTGGTCCAGCTTGGACCAATGTAACTATGTATATACAGCATATCTAGCCGATGCCACTGGACGCTGGAAATCACCTAAGTACACAGGTACTCCAGTGATCTGCTTCCAGGTCGCGTGTTGCTGAGATAGGTCAAAACCTCAAAACTTGTGTTTTCAATGATTCAGGGGTGTGGAAATTTTGTTTTAAAAAATTACTTATCTAGGGACTAAATCAGTGCCCTAATCTACTTGTCCCTCATGATAATCTACCTGTCCAGATAAAAAGAAATAAATCTAAACCAAAACCTTATTTAAATCTGAGGTGATATTAGGAATGCCTGGGGCTTTTAAAACAAATGGGGCTTTATGGCGACTTAAATGTGTAATAATTTTAACATTGCACGGTTTATATCTTCCTACCATCCCTGCCTGTCTTCAGCCCCGCCCCCAGGGACTAGCAGGGTGGGGAGAGACCTTGCAGTGTAATGAGCACTGATTGAGTGCTTGTCAGGAAAGGCGAGTGTCCGGCTTATCCTTTTCACTGCCAGAGCTGTTTTTTGCACACATTTAAAAAAATCATGTTAGGCCTGAAGATTACACAAAACCCCCAAATATTACATATTTTCTGAAAGCAGACCCTAGAGAATAAAAACTGGAAGTTCCAATTTTTTTGTCACATATTACCGCAAAATTTCACGAAAAAGTACAAATTAATTTTAAGTCACAAAAAAAAAAAGCAATAAATTACCTTATTTTTTTTAAAAAATATAAAAGATGAGGTTGCACAGAATAAATAGATACCCAGCATGTCAAAACGTTAATTTGCGTGTGCTTGTGAAATGGCGATAACTTCAGTACCCCGTATTTTCTATAGGCGAAACTTTTAAAGCCCCTTATAAGTCATAAATATAGTGTTACAGAGGGTCTGGCGCTAGAATTATTGCTCTCATTCTGGTGTGCGCGGTGATATGTAACATGTGTATCGCAATCAACGTTTTCACAAGTAGGTGCCCCAGTGTGTGCTTTTACGTTTGTACGTGTGTGTATATGTGAGGGGCCTCAATTTTTTTTGGGGGGGGGGGAGGGGGGATGTTATCTGCTAGGGCGTAACTTTGATATTTTACAATAAGAAAAACATTTTATTTTTTTTTTTACTTAATATTTTTTTTTTATCACATAGGGGACAAAGTGGAGCGGAATCTGGCACTGTGTGGAAGCAATCGGCGGCAGCACTGCAGCCCGAATGCTTCCACCTGACAAGTGAGCCCTGCTGCTTGCCCACAGCAGGACTGAAAGATTTAAAAAAAAAACCAAAAGAAACACCTTCCCGTAACTACATGTCCAGGCGTTTGTGCTTCTATTAGAGGCATTTCCTTCCAATTCTTGTCACAGTGGCACAATCTGGATAATCAGCACTGACTGGAAGACAGCACCTCACTATATAACATATCAATATACTTACATCCTTAGACAATTCACAGACGCTGACAGATATATTTGATCCTACATGATTTTCACCGTTGTGGTAATTGGACATTGATGGTTCACAAGCGTCATGTTTAGTGAGTTCAATCTGATTATTTGGAATGGATTCTAAAGATATCCTCAATTCCTCTTTCAAATTGTCAGTCCTATCTAGTGTATCCATGGGTGCACAAAGACAGTTTGTTGTGACAGATCCATCTGCACACTTTCCACTCCATCTTCTTTTGCGTATCCCTTTCTGTTCTTCTTCAGATTCTTCAGAAGATTCTGTACCATAAGGAACTAGCAAGTTGGACGTTGCTTTAGACTTGCCATTGACTAAATTTCCACGGTTCAACCTGATTGGTGCATGCTTCGATTCGGATTGTGTAGGGACACTTGAGGTAGACAGCGTTGCACATGGTTTAGTAGAAGCAGATGCCAGACTTGCACTAGCTGCAGACTCAGTATTGGGAGAATCATGAAATGGTGGTCCTTGAAGAGCAGGATGCTGTTTGTTGATAGTGATGGTAATTTTTTGTTTCTTGACTGTTGAGTTAATGGACACTTGCCGGTTGACTGGCACTGCACCCATTGGCCTTTTAACATTAACACAGCTATTGTTTGGAACTGGACCATTCAGTGAAGATTTTGGTGACCGATTCCCATTCATGTGTTTTACATTCTGAAGGACATAAAAATAGAACAAAATTGTAGACATTTGTGATTTAAATGTTTTTTACCAGCAATAGATTTCCGAATATCCTGTCCCTAATTTGTGTAAGGTTTGCATTGTGCAATTACATATGCTGTAATGTTAGCTAGTCAAGAGTTCTGAAAGTACAGGCTTGCCAAATCTTGGAATACTGTGCTGGTGGATAGTGAACATTTGGTGACAACAAATTAGATTTTTGACACCGCACAGGCACAGCCAGGTCAGAGTTTTCTATCTACAGCTGACAATGCACAGGTAGAAAACAGAATAATGTAATCACAAGAATGAATAATAAAATGACTAAACTAAAATGAATTCTGACTTCTGTAAACTCCATATATTTGAGTAAAGTACAGGGCACAGACAAGATATTCATAGACCCAGGTTAGAAGTTCAGACCTTTAAGTGATTGGACCCTGGCAAAGTTTGAGGAAAAGTGCCCTCAATACCTTCCCTATAACCCTACCCCACAAGCAAGTCCTCAGTTTGTAGCAAGCAATGTAGAATAATCAAGGAATGCTAGGGAGGGTGACCTGTGTCCTGCACTATTACTTCAAGATATGGAACTTACAAGCAAGTCAAAATTCCTCTCACCTTAACCGTACAGTACAAGACAGACAATTGATACATAAACCCTGGGACATCCCCAAGCAATAAATGAAAAGGGTGGGCAACTAAGAAAACAGAACTGTACCAACAGGCCCAACAAGGCAGAAAGATCTAACTTCAGAGTACAGCCGCAAGAAATTGCGGTCAAATGTTGCATTGGCTTAAGACTGGATATCCACTTTGCAGAACTGTGAAAGGATGGACTGGGGTGTAAGCCTGGTCATACACATGTAGATTTTCAGCCGAAAACATTAATTTCAAGAATATTTGTTTGATTTTCTAATCATTACAATAGAACGTTAAAAGCAAGAGACAATTTTCGAACGACATTCGTCCATTCATTGAATGTGCAAAGAATTTTTGTGCGCTTTTTTTTTTTACGAATATGCTTGGCCGAAAATCTACACGTGTATGGCCAGCTTAAAACAATCTTGTCATTGTGAGGATTGGCCCCTTTTAAGAGAGCCGCCAACCCAGAGACATGTCTAATAGATGTTATAGCAACCAAAAGGCTACTTTGCAGGCGAGGTCATCTAAGGTAACATCCCTGATGAGTTCAAAGGGTGGTTTCTGCAGGGAAGAGACACTAAAGTTGAGATATCAAGGAAGCACAGGAAGGGAGAACAAAACCACTTGGAAGGAGACCTCTTCAGTGAGGGCTATCCCGAATTATTTGCTCCACTGTGAACCAAAATTACCAACATTCAGTCCGGGATAGGTGATCGCTAAGCAAGATCTGCAGGATTAAGGTCCAGCAAAGGTGCTCAGACTGCAAGGGTCAAGAAAACAGGCACTCTTAATGGAGTGTCTTCTGGGTTTTCTGACACGGGGATGCCAGGAGAAGAGACACTAGGGTAGACACAAATCCATTGCTTAGAGCCAGTACATCACATCTGGGGTATGTTGAATGAGCACAACTTCATCAGCAAAAGAACCAACCAGAGCTGATTCCTGATGATCTTGTAGGTCAGGAGATACCTTGGAAAAGAGAATACTGATGGGTAGTAAATGGCACAAAGGGATGGATAGTGCCCAAAAAAACAGAAACTCCCCTCTAAAGAGGAGTTCTGGTTTGAAATGGAAAGGACTGGGGGAGGGGGGAATATCTCTTGAAGGTTAAGTTTTAACAAGGGAGAACCAGAGGTTGGTTCTTCCTGTGTGCTGGGCCCTAGAGCTTAGTTATCGCCCAATTCTTGCTATACTGTGTCCAAAGTTTATTGTATTATGCCACATTCCACTGTCCGCTTTGATCTTCTGGCTCAGCCGCTGTGAGCTCCACCTGCTGGTACAAGGATAATAGGGAGTTACCCACTCTTCAACTAAAACAGTGCATATACCCTTGGGAATACTATCAAAAGATGACGGACAGCCAAATAAAGGGTTAATGTCAGGGGTTTCACCTGATAGCTACAAAGCAAAACTTAAATTCCCAAATGCTTTTAAAAGGTCTTAAAGCTTTATGAACAGCCCCCACTTGCAGTGGGGTGCATCTTAATGCACACAGGTTACTAGAGGGGTTGGAAGAGCTTTGGCTGTGAGCTCTGTGGTCTGAGTGAGAAGTAATGAATGCCTATGAACTGCAAAAAAGCAGGGTGAGGTTCCTTCAAATCTTCGAGACCCCCTGCATTGAGGCAGGATCATACATCGGCCACTGGTGATGCCACCAATGACAGTGTTAGGAGCCAGTCCAAATACAAGAGGTCTCCCAAACTGAATCAGATGTTTCTTTTACGTATCGGCAGCTTCTCAAGCAGTACCATGCAAGACATGTTATGATGCTGGAAAAAAGCCATCACAGAAGCACAAAGCTACAATCACACAATGTGCCGGTTAATATGGACAACTGTTGCATTGGATGAGCGCACCGATTTGTGTGCTCCCCCTCAAAAGGGGAAGAGCTTGGGCGCACTGTCAAAAAGGGATCTGGACCCTTCAGGGTGTTTCCAGTCCTCAAAAAAAGAATGATTTAAATAGGGGGGTAGCTGCTAAGGAGCTCTAAAAGACTGTAGGCCTGGGATGGCAAGGCCTCAATACTCAAAGCCGGAAAGCAGGTGCTGATGAGGGGTTGAAGTGGCCTAGAGGTGACCAGGTCACTGTAGGATGACAGTGAAAATTGATCAGAGTTCCTTGTGATGCTTCAGAAGCAGCAGTATGATGCTTCCTTCAGGCTGAATGGTGGGAAAAAGGCATGGATCACATGTGCAGAACTCCACCCAATAAAAGTCAGTTCATGATTCCTGAGTCTTCACCCTTACTATAATAAACTGGTAGCGGCGAGAAAGTAAAATAAAAATTAAATAAATAAAAATTGCACCAGTGAGATGTTTCAGCCTGACCAGCCTGGCTCACAGAATCTTAAGAGGCAGGGTCCCACCTGGCGCTGTATCACTGTGTGTACTCAGGTTGGGAAAATGTCAACTACAGAGCCCAGTGCCTGCAGATCATATTCCTGGCTAGCAAAGCACATCCAGTTCAGTGGGGTTTAGGTAAGGCCTCCAAAGCTTATGCTGAAGACCCAGATTGCGTCTAAGTAGAGACCAGCTTAAGCAGCAGTATAGCAAGGAATCTTGATTGCAGTTACTGAGGAAAAAAAACACCACCAGTGTAGCAAAAAATCTTGAAGTCATCAATATTAGAAGACTAGCAAAAAGATTAGACTTTTCAACAGAGCTGAAGTGAAGGCATCCAGCTCCCTAGGACACTAGCAAAAAAACTGAGGCATGCTGGGAAGAAGAGGGGTTATACAAGTGCTTGCTTATACCTTTTTCCTGTTCGCCAGTGTACCAAACTCCTGTAGGCAGAAGTATAACCCAAAATGTTATAGGAATCCTGCCTCCCTCAAAAGGATGATAAAACAGCATGCATACTGGTTCCAAAGCAAACAAATTCTTGCAACTGAAATTTACATGCTCTAGAACAGGCTCTCACCTTAATGATCTGTTGAGGTCCTACAAACAAAAACTTGGACACGCTTGCCCTCTGGCTGCAGCTGGGTTGCGGGGAATTAGGGCTGGCTGATTGGAGAGCATATGATGAATCACCACTAGGAACATTTTGGGATCTGGGGAAAAATATGTAGAGAAAATGAAAAAAAAATGCTAAAATAAATTATTTGGCAAAAACATATAAAGGCTTTACAGAAATATGCGGAAAAAAATTAAGCATTAAAAAGAAAATACCTGATGTAGAATAAAAGGTATGCCTGCTGGTTGAGGACTGTCCTGATGTCTGCACTAGACACAATAGAATCATTCATAAGGTACCACTGGTCATTACTAGCCTGCAATACAACAGAAATCGCACAATAAAGAAAAAAGTGCTAGAATCAAAGCAATTATAAAAAGATGGTGAAAATTCATATCACAAAATATGGTGACCTATAGCATGTTTTCAAACAGCACATAAGTGTTAGTCATCACATACTAAACTAAATATTAACTAAATGAAGTTGTAGGAAGTAAAATTTGCACCGCATTGACCTATTTGCTAAGGAAATATGCATGAAAGGAAATGCCCTGGACTGCCAACATTGTCCATATTGCTTCACGTGACCTCATCCATCTGGCAACATGAGACTGAGTTAAGATTTTACAAGTCGCCCTACTGATTAAGGTCTGTCACAGCTCGCAGAGTTATAAATTTCTGCTAATTATTAACAATGCAAGTAAGGTGAGATACAGTAGATCTCTTCATGGCCAATGACAGTTCACCATCAAAAGAAACAGAAAGGAGAGTGCCTCAACTAGTGCTGGAGAGGTCATGAAAGCCTGAATCCTGCAGGTATATGTACTTTCATCTTTAAACCATTAAAAAAAAGCAAACTGAGTACAGCAGAGAAGATTATGCATTTGTGAACTATAGAAAAATAGACACATTTTAAAACAGCAGAATGCCAATCTATGCTGTCAGGGAAACTAGGTGCAAAGCAAATAACCAGTGAGCTCCACCTGAGAGGGACAGGAAAACACTGCGAAGATGTTCAGTGGTATACAATGCATTGCCTCAGTATTTTATTTTTCGCAGGTTTGCTTCAACTTGACTTAATGGAAAAACCAAACAAGCCGACATGTTTAAAATTATAAACGTACCTTTATATAGGAATAGTAATGTCCAGTGTGACAGCTGAAGCCACTATGTACAAGTACAGCATACAGTTTGTATATAAGCGCCTCTCCACTTGGATGAGAGGTATAGGGACGGATGTCAAGGTATTCTGGGTATTTAATTTCCTAAAATTGAAGATAAAATGTCTATTAGTGCTCATTATTATGCAAAAAAAACCTCAACATTTTGAAATAATTCCATAAAACCATAAAAAAAAACAAAAAACAAAAAAAACGCACAAATACTGTACTATTATTCAAAAACTTCCTAGAAAGTGTTGTAAACAGAAAATTAAAAAAAAAAAAAAAAAAAAATCAGCAGCAATTCTATTTGACATATATGCAGTTTTTTAAAATTTTGCAACCGTTTCACTCAGGCTTTTGGTTGTCTTATTTCCACCTCTCAAGTAATCTCATACTAGCTCAATAGTCAATATTCTAAGCAGTTAATTTTGCCATTTGATTTTTTGCTGTGCTGGGGGTTATGCGGCGAAATGAAGATGGGGTTAATCTGATGTATGATACTGAATTAATCTTGAAAAATATGCTTTATTAGCATAATTGCACATGAAAAGTACTCAAGTTAGAGCTGCAATCAACCATCACCTCAAAGACATGACACAAAACAACCTAAAACAAAGATTAAAACAAAGATTAAAACAAAAAAGGACATCACAGCAGGCCTGAAATGATGCTATGCTGCTGGATTAACGACATACTAGTCTTTTGCATCAGCAGCAGAGGCACAGTGGGGTGCATAACCGTAGTGGGAAACGGGACATTCAAAAAAATGCAGACTGGCTGTATATTAATCATCACAATAGCACATATGTAACATCAATAAATGGGGACATAAGCCCTTCTTGGTAGCCAGCGGAGCTAATAAAGCATATTTTTGAAGATTAATTCAGTATTGCATGTCCTTTTTTCTGTGAATTCTTTATTCACATTTTTTGGCTTTTTTGGTTATTGAGCAAAATTACTGTTTATATTTTGCAATACTAACCGATGTTGGAGCCTCTGACCTTTATTTTTATTTAATCTTATGTATCCCTGATGATACTGTATGATATATAATCTGAATGTACATCATAGAATTGAGGCCACTTTTGCAGCCACTTTTCAGGGCATCAAGCTTATTTTTAATTTTTACAACTTGCAAAGGCCCCTACATATTGTCCTATGTGTCCATGCACACTTTTAGAAGGTTTTAGTGGCAGGGGCTTTTAAGAGCTGTAAAAAAAATCCTCTGCCAGTGCACCCAGGAGCTGCAGTATTTTGACAGGAAAAAAAAAAAATGCTTGATGCATGCAAACGCACCTAAAACACGTGTGAACGTTAGACACATTTAGCGCTTGAGATTTAATTCATGTCAGAGACCAGAATTACTCTGTCCAAGCGCTTGACACCTGTAAATGCGCTTAAACACTTCTAAAAGCATTAGACACTTTTACAAGCATCAGGTGGATTTTTCTGACAAAATGCTGCTGTCAAGAGGAGAGTTGTTAAAATGTAATGTGTGCATAAGGCCTAAAGAGGGCAAGAATTTTTACAGAAACTATAAACAATGGGGACCATAATCCATTTTGAACTCACCTTTGAAAGTTTTCCTCCACTGAAACTAGCAAACCTTTTCAAGGACAGAGTCAGGACATTAGATGTTCTATGAATTGTAAATTTCTTTGTTGCTGTAACTAATTGATTACACCTAAGGAAGCAAGGAGCAAAGATAAGCACAAAGGAAAAATGTTAGTTTAAAATAAAACAGTGTAGGTAGAATTATTGGTGGTATGGTTAGTGACTTGATTTTGGAGTTGAATATTCCAGAACTGCAATCCTTATCCTCTCTGCAATAGTGGCTCGCTGACAGCTGATATGCTTTTTCCGATCAGTGCATCACCAAGTAGTGTAGTAAACATAAGGATACCAGCCATAGAGCTGTGTTTCAAACAGATGTCAAAGGTGGCTGCTCCCATATTTCTCAGATGACAGGTTTCTTTCAAACGGTAAAAGAACAAGCTAAAAAGTGACTGCCTCCCCACCTCCTGCTTTTGTACAGCATGTATTTCTGATTGCAAGTCTGCAGGCCTTTATTAAGAAAAAATACTTGCAAAAGCCAATCAAAAATCTGTTTTCATGTTTGGCAGGAAAGGAGACCTGATTTGTATCTACTTACAGGTCCAGTCATTCCCCCATTCTGTAACTGGGAGGTGAAAAGAAAAGCAGCACACAGAGTAGCTTATCCCTGTCACTCTGGTCACCCTCCTATTAGCAAAGTTCTTTTTATTACAAGAGCACTGCACCAGTCAAGGTTGGCTCCTTGCAGCACCTTACAGTCTGAATCCACCAAGAAGCTAATTATGTTCTGTAAAGACTGCATGGATTGATCCATTCAACTTCAGCAGCTATTGTAAGGTTCTCATATTTCCCCAGTGCTTTTCTCCTATAGTAAAAAGCAAATGGAAAATGGAAGTGCAGCGCTAAGATGAATGGTAACAATAGGATCAAAATCTTATGTGGTGAACTAAATAGGTAAACAGTCCAAAATGATATATCGTGCCTTTAATCAGTATGATCACTGCTCCAGTATCCCGATGTGAAAAGTATGGTACCTGCATAGGACCTCCAGCTAGAGGGACCACCTGAGGATCATCCTAGTACCTGCATAGGACCTCCGGCTAGTTGGGATCTCTATATGCGCATTAAGATTGCGCTTCCGGTGAGTGGGCAATCTTTCCATACTTTCACATCGGGATACTGGAGCAGTGATCATACTGATTAAAGGCACGATATATCATTTTGGACTGTTCACCTATTTAGTTCACCACATTGGACTTTATATCTTTTAGTAATTCTTACATAAGATTTTGATCCTATTGTTACCATTCATCTTAGCGCTGCACTTCCATTTTCCATTTGCTTACAGAAAGGTCTTTGTGGTTCCTTTTTGTGCATTTAGCTGCTTTGAAGCGCACTCGCTAGGCCATCTATATACATGTTCTATAGTAAAAAGCCATTATAGAGTGTACGCTTCCAAATTTAGCGGTATAGACGGAGACACCAATGAGGTATTAAAATAACTGAAAACTGCATTCTCGAGTCAAATAAAAAGCAATTCGCTCATCTGGCCCTCCAGCATTCTTCTATAACTGCAACACCTCTAGAAAGCCAACTGTTCCTCAAGGTTTCCCAACTCCATTCCTCATATACCCCTTTGCATGTCAACATTTCTGGCAGTCACCCATCACAGAACAAGGAGAACAAACATTTGGAAGATGAAGGAGTTTCTTAAATCATGAGTCAAACAATGATTTCTTAATCAAATTATACAATTTTCAAAGATGAGGTGGCATAGCAAGCAATATTTTATTTTAAAGAGCTACTGTACATTCTGTCTCCCCTCTTACTTCCCTCCTGGTCCACAATCAGCTCGTTTTCTATTCATAAATCCCTTTCCCAGCTCCACAACCAGCTTACACTCTGTATCCCACCATTATCACATTTAAATATTTTTTTTATCACACCTTAAATCATAATTTCAGCTAAAATACTGTCTGATTGGAAGGCAATGCATACCGGTATGTGGGATCAAACATTGTTAGGGGCATAGACTACTACACAACTTTCATAAGAGTGGGTCAGAAAAATGTTTACTGTCATGTGTAGAATGCATAGGAGTGAATATATTTAAAATCTTACTTGCTACATTTGTACGCATTGTCTCCTTCCAGCTGTTCGGCTTTTACAAACTCTTCCAAAGCTTGGTTTATACTATGTGAAGACTGAAAAATTCAAACATAATTAAGAATTTAGGGGGCATGAGAACATAAATATTACATTTTACATTTAACATATCTTTTACTAGAGAATCAGTTACTAGGAAGCACAACACAAATCAACTTGGCATATTATAAGGAAAAACAAACCTGGTCAAAATTTTTAAATCACATAAAAATTACTTCAAAAGTGAACAATGCAATAACAGTTCAAAATATGTGCTCACTGATATAAAAGTAACTATAGACAAGGTATTCTTACTTTTATTAGTAGTGCCTACCAAATAAACATGATACAAAGAAGAGCACATTGCTTTCCGATCTTAGAAATGCAGCTTTGCAAACATTTCGAACAGCATGCTTAATGCTAGTTGTAAATCCCAACAACTGTCTTATCTGCTTCCATACCGGGTACTTTTACCCCCTTCCTGCCCAGGCCATTTTTCAGGTTTCAGCGCTCTCACACTTTGAATGACAATTGTGCGGTCATACAATATTGTACCCAAACTAAAATTTTATCATTTTCTTCACACAACTAGAGCTTTCTTTTGGTGGTATTTAATCACCGCTTGGGTTTTTATTTTTTGCTAAACAAAAAGATAAAAAATTTTGAAGAAAAAAAAAAGTTTCTTTGTTTCTGGTATAAAAGTTTGCAAATAAATAATTGTTCTTCATAAATTTAGTCCAAAATGTATTCTACTTCATGTCTTTGGTGAAAATAACCCAAATTAGTATTTATTATTTAGTCTGTAGGAAAGTTATAGAGTTCACAAACTATGGGATATATCTGAAAATTGATCAATCCTGAAATACTGACGGCCAATCTAATTTCTTGAGGTCCAAGAATGTCAGAACAGTACAGATATCCCCCAAATGACCCCTTTTTGCAAAGTAGACAGTCCGACGTATTTCATAACAGGCATGGTGAGTTTTTTGAAGTTGTAATTTTTTTGCAAATTTTTCAGAAATGAAGAAAAAAAAATGATTTCCACAATTTTTCTTTTTTACATACTGTTACCAGTGACACTGACTGGTGACAGTACAAAAAAAAAATTTAAAAAATGTATCATTGTTATTTTTTCTCTTTTTTAAAGATTTTTTTTTTTCATATTTCACTATGACTAAAGTAGTATAATGTTAGCATAGTAACATTGTACTACTTTGGGGAAGTGATCAGTATTTTTTTTTTTTTTAACACAATTTGCCTATAGCAAAGAATTACTTTGCTATAAGCAAGCATTTACCTGAATGAAATCGATTCATTCAGGATTTTTTTTTTCCTTAACTGTGATTTGGCCACAGCTAATCACATGACACAGCTGGGCTGTGGTTGGCCCAGCTTGTGCATGTGATCGCTGTGACCATTCACAGCTAGCCACACTTGTATACAATGGATGGCATGAAAGGAAGCCATCCATTGTATACAACTGTCATGTGACCTGCTGTGATTGGTCACAGCAGGTCACATGGTACCGGCAACAGGGCTGGTACACAGATCTGTCATCGGCCGTGTCCGAGGTACAGGCTGCGGCTCTGCGGACAGGCAAGCTGTGCATGCCTGAAAGGACGCCATATGGCGTCCACCCAGAGGGACGAGGTGTTTTGCCAGCCGCCATCTGGCTATAGGCCGGGCGGGAACCTGTTAAAAAGGTATGCAATTTTATTAACCGCCTCCCGCCTGCCATAAGGTAATGACGGGAGCACGGCGGTTCTCTCATTCTGGGACGACGTCACATTGACGTCCTCCCACTCTAACCAGGGGGGGCGATCGGTGGTGCGCTGTGTCCCTGGAACACAGCAGATCACCAATCAGTGGAAGGAGCCAATGACATTGGCTGTCATGTGATCAGCTGTGTCCAATCACAGCTGATCGTATGTAAATAAGGAAATGTCAGTTATTGCCATTTCTCTCCTCACGAGCGGTCACGCTGACAGCTTGTGACGAGAGGAGAGACGGTAATCGGCATTCCTCAGAGGGGACATGTACACTGATCATCAAGGCACTGATGATCAGTGTAGTCCCATCAGTGCCACCTTTCAGTGTCCAATGCCACATATCAGTGCCTACCAGTGCCCATCAATGCCACATCAGTGCCCATCTGAGCTGCCTTTCAGTGCTGCCGAACAGTGCCAACTAACAATGCCATATATGAGTGCTGCCTTTCAGTGCCCATCAGTAATGCTTGTCAATGCCCATCAGTGCCACCTACCAGTGCCCACCACTGCAGCCTCATTAGCGCACATCAGTGAAGGAGAAAAATTACTTATTTAGAACAATTTATAACAGAAACGAAGAAAAACTTTTTTTTTCAAAATTTTTAGTTTTTGGTTTGTTTAGCAAAAAATAAAAAAACCAGCGGTGATTACAAATACCACTAAAAGAAAGCTCGGTCTCAAAAAAATTATAAGAATTTCATATGTGTACAGTGTTGCGTGACCGCACAATTGTCAAAAGTGTGACAGTGCTGAAAGCTGAAAACTGGCCTGAGCATGAAGGGGGTGAAAGTGCACGGTAGGCAAGTGGTTAAAATGGTGCTTCTTTCAGAGAAATTAGGTTACTTTTTTCCTTGCATAAAAGTAACCATTGTTCTCCACTGTTGCTTAGTGGATGGGTGTTAGAACTTAAATATACCAAAAAGTGCAGCACATCCATAACCCTACTATATGGATCAATTAAACACCATAAGATTCATGTGTGTGTTTGCAGGTGTGAAAGTAACGACATGTGTCACGTTGAAAGTGGAAGTGATTTAACATGCTTTTGCTTTCACTGTGTGATGAGACACCTAGCTAATAGGTGGGAAGTCATATCAGAGCTTCCTAAGCTTCAAAGGGCAAAATTGTTGGTCCTGGATTGTAACCCGGAATTAGAAAACAACTGCTGCAAAAGTGACTGCAGAGATCAATATGTGTCCCTTAAAGACTGGGATTGAGCTCTGCAGTCACTTTGGTAGTCCTGATAAAAAAACAAACCCACAAAAAACACACATTTTAAACAAAATCATATTTAAATAAGTTTTTAACATTGCACGGTTTACCTCCTACTCACCTCCCTGCCTGTCTCCAGCACCGCACCCTGGGACTAGCAGGGAGGGGAGAGACCTTGTAGTATGATGAGCACAGACTGGGTGCTCATCAGGAAAGGGGAATATTGGGCTCTCTTACCGCTAAGCAGAAGCGCATCTGCTGAGCGAATAAATAAGGTGCCAGTCCCAATGATGGGGAAAAAAAAACAAGAACCTTTATTCCTTCAGGTTACCCTCGCACACAGAAGCACTTGGGTGCGCAGTAAAAGTGCATGCTGAGCAGCCAAATCAAGCTCCAGTGTATGCTCCACGAGGCTCCATTCACACCTGGGTATTTTGGGATCACAGCAGAACTGCTGCGATTCTGCCCGCGATCTCAAAATGCACTACAATCATAAAACTCTGGCTCAGGTGCCATTATTTTCAATGGCACCTAAAAAACAGTTCATTTTTGTCGTGATTTATCACATCACGTGAAGCTTGTTGCACGAAAGAAGCTCCTGCTCCTTTCTGGGTGACAAAATAAACACGATGTGTTTTGCTGCAATTGCTACACGATAAATAATGCAACAATCACAGCAAAACCACACTGCATTTTAGGTGCCATTGCAAAAAATGGCACCTGAATCTACATTTTGCGAGGGTAGTGCATTTTGAGATTGCATGCACAATCTCACAGATTCTGCTGCAATCCCAGAACGCCCATGTATGAATAGAACCTTAGTCCTGGTTCATGCTGATGCAAATCTGATGTGGATCAGAAGCGACCTGGAAGGCATAGTTGCATGGCATCTGAAAACACATGGTTTTCAATGAAGGACGTTCACATCTATGCAGTGATCAGGTCAAAAAAAAAAAAAAAAAAAAAAAAAAAAAAAAAGGTCCTGTGCGAGTTTGGAGTGTTCCAGCATAGAGTATAGTGGTATTCTGAGATAACTGTTCACATAGAAGGCGATTCATAACCGGTTTTGCATAAAATCGGCTAGAAGACAGATTTGAATCACACCTGAACAGCTCAAAAACTACCTTTAGCATTGAAAATGGACATGAAAAGCGCACCACAAAGTAAACTGTTGTAGCAGGGCTAAATGTAACAAAAAAAAAAAAACACACCACCACCTGCCCGACACCCAGAACAGCATTTCCTGGGAATCAGGCGATCGATACGATTTGCACATCCCTGTAAACCCTTGATTGCTCCTAGATATTAACCTCTTCCTAGCCAGTGTCATTAGTACAGGGTATAGTATTCTGATCACTATAGAAGTGTCACTAGCAACATCAATGTCAGGTGTCGCTCCCAGCCAGTGTCTGCATCAGATTGCCCACCACACTATCACAATATACGTCACTGATCACTGACATTACCAGTATAGCATCTGTAGTTGCGTAAATTCTAGTACATATAACAATTTGGCCTAACTAAAGAAATTTGATTTTTTTTTATTAAATGTATTTTATAACAAAGTAAAAAATACAGGGTTTTTTTTTTATTTTTTAGAAAATATAGGGTTTTTTTGTCAAAATTTTCAAAGGGTGATCAAATAACACCAAAAGAAAGCTCTATTAGGGTGAAAAAACTTATATAAATTTCACTTGGGTACAGTGTTGCATGACCAAGCAGTTTCCCCTTAAACTAGCACAGTGCTGAATAGCAAAAAGTGCCATGGTCATGAAGGGGGTAAAACCTTCAGGAGGTCAAGTGGTTAAATACACTCACTGCCAATAGCGAGATGTTTTTTGTCTAGGGCTGAAACAACTAATCGACATAAGTGATTATGAAAATCGCTGTCAACTATTTTCATTATTGATTAGTTGACCTGCATACAGAATGCATAATACATATCAGGAAAAACAGTGCAGCTCAATACACCATTCATACATATCAGTATACACAGTGCAGCACACATACAGCTCGGTACACAGTTCAGGTCAGTAAGTGCCTGAGAACTTGTGGATGTGAAAGGAACAATGCCTCAT